GAAGTCCCCATTTTCTGGAGAGAGATTAGCTCCCTGCCCTCGAGAGGGTCATAGGCATGTCTAGTACAGAGGTAGAGGAATGGCCAGCATGGCCTCTCATGATCACTACTGACCAGAGGGAGAGAGAGAGTCTCTATCTTTCACACTCTGAGATATTCTTCCTCCAAGCCCCACCTGCCCCTCCTCTCTGCCCCCAAATTCTGGGGACACTTTAGTCCCTTCCTGTTCTCTACCTTGGGCCTTTCTCCCCACTCTGTCTCCCCCCAGGGTTTCTGCCAAACCCTGTCCTTGCCCAACCACACCCCGCCTTCTCTCAGGCACCAGTGACTTTCTTCAGCTCCACGCCCATGGGCCGGATCCTAAACCGCTTCTCTTCTGACGTGGCCTGTACTGATGACAGCCTTCCCTTCATACTCAACATCCTCCTAGCCAATGCAGCAGGCCTGCTGGGCCTCCTGGCTGTGCTGGCCTCTGGCCTGCCCTGGCTGCTGCTGCTGCTGCCACCTTTGAGTATCATCTACTACCGTGTGCAGCGCTACTACAGGGCCTCCTCAAGGGAGCTGCGGCGCCTAGGTAGCCTCACCCTGTCTCCACTCTACACCCACCTGGCCGACACCTTGGCTGGCCTCCCCGTGCTCCGGGCTGCTGGAGCCACTGACAGGTGTGTGGACTCTGTCTCTCTCAACCAGAGCCTAGGGAGAGGGGAGAAGAGGGACCTCTGAGAAGAAAGGCATGCTGGGGAGGGGGGTTTTAGGTTTCCTGAGAAAGCAAGGGTGGGTGAGGGCACTAGGGGAAAGAGGAAAGAAAAAAGGGATAGTGAGGCAGAGCAGACCCCTATGAAGGAACACCTTGGCCTCTTGGTACCCTGACGTGAGGCCTGTGGGTGTGTAGATCAGCTCTGAGAAGGAGGTATTCTATGCGGAAGGAGTCTGGGTGGGTCAGTGCAACAGTAGGATGGCCTTGTTTTCCTCCTGGCCTCCCCCAGGTTTGAAGAGGAGAACCAGAGACTCCTGGAGCTAAACCAGAGGTGCCAGTTTGCTTCCAGTGCTACCATGCAGTGGCTGGACATTCGGCTACAGCTCATGGGGGCTGCAGTGGTCAGTGCCATCGCAGGCATTGCCCTGGTGCAGCACCAGCAGGGCCTCGCTAACCCAGGTACCACCTCAGGACCCCTTACTCTTACCTCAGAAGCATGTGATTCCCACCCCCTACCCAAGACCTCTCCCTGCACTGTACCCTAAACATTTCACCTCCCACCCAGGTTCCCTATGAGGAAGTATTGTAATTCTCCGCCCACCCCCACCCCCCCATTTTAGAGTTGAGGAAACTGAGTCTCAAGGACTGACTTGCCCAAGGGTTGGTGGATCTGAGACTAGAATGAGTCTTCAGATCTCGCCCCTTCCCTGCTCATCCCCATCCCCAGGACTCTTCCAGGTCTACCTGTCATCCCTCATAGCCTCTCCAGGCCCACTCCATTGCTTTACATCTAGCCTTTTGTGGTTCTGGTCTGGTGCTGACATCTTCCTGCTTCTCCGCTGGTCTCTTTTAAATGCCCATGGTCCACATAGCTTGGGATTCTCCTATTCTGCCTCACTTCTCCCCATACACATCCCAATGTCCAAGCCTCCCCTAGTGGCTGGTGTTCCTCTCCCCCTAGGACTGGTGGGCCTGTCACTGTCCTACGCCCTGTCCCTGACGGGCCTGCTCTCAGGCCTGGTGAGCAGCTTCACGCAGACGGAGGCCATGCTGGTGAGCGTGGAACGGCTGGAAGAGTACTCCTGTGACCTGCCCCAGGAGCCCCAAGGCCAGCAGTCGCAGGTAGGCCTGCATCCCCGCCCCAGGCCTGGGTGCTGGAATCCTGTAGGACCTCCTGATGGCCCTAGTCTCTCTCCAAGTTCCTTTCCTTTCACTCCTCGCCATTTTTCTCAGCTCCTCTAACGTTCTCACACGTTCTCCCCATTCTTCACTGTGCCCCGCATCTTTGTGTCCATTTTCCCTGCCTCTCCTTCATTTGCCCTCCTTTCCCCATGCCATCCATTTCTCATTATCCCCCTCCTTCTACTCTCCAACCTTCCCTTCTCCCCGCTGTGTCTCCCCCATCTTACCCATCTCCCTCCATCTCCCACCCATGAATCCCACCAGCTAGGCACTGGCTGGCTGACGCAGGGGAGCATTGAGTTCCAGGATGTGGTGTTGGTGTACCGGCCAGGGCTGCCAAATGCCCTGGATGGGGTGACCTTCCGCGTGCAGCCTGGAGAAAAGTTGGGCATCGTGGGCCGCACAGGCTCCGGCAAGTCTTCCCTGTTGTTGGTGCTCTTCCGGCTCCTGGAGCCCAGTTCGGGGCAAGTGCTGCTGGATGGAGTGGACACCAGCCAACTGGAGCTGTCTGAACTCAGGTCTGGGGGAGGGAGAAGAGGGGACCCAGACTACTGGCACTTAGAGGAAGGCCCAGCCCAGGAAGACTTTACATGAACTCAGGACAGCCAGGGCTGATTATAAGTGAAATGGAAGACAGGACAAGCAGGTGAGGATAGCGAGCTCCTAGTGCTCAGGTCTAGGGGCACAGCTATGGTCTCAAAGTCTTCGGTCTGACCCAAGTCCACCTTTCCAGCTTCATCTTTCTTGTACTTCCCAGCATACACCCTGCACTCTAGAGCCCCAGTCACTGCATCCTGAATCAGAACCTCCCTGGTGCTGCGCCTGAGATACTCATCCCCTTAGCCTCAGGCTCGGCACGTGGTGCTCAGGACAGCTTGAGACCTGGGCCAGTTGCCCCTGGCACAAGCGGCCACATCTGGGGCTGAACTTCTCCCCCGACCACCCCCAGGTTAGCCTGGTATCATTTTTGCTGAGTTCCATGACATGGAAAAGGAAGGGAAGCTCTGTTCTAAAGCCCATTACTGATCCTAGGCCCTGGCTCCGCCCTTCTTGTATTCTCTATGACCTATGGTGGCCTTACGTTTTAGCTCCACCATATGGCTCCTCAGGACCCAATTCCTGGCCCTCCAACCTTGAAGCATCCCCTGCCTATCCATACTCCGCTCATTCCTTGCCACTACTGCTGTCCCAGTGATTGCTGGAGTCAGTGCCACACAGCCCACCCTCGCTCTCTGTATTTTGTGCCTTAGTGAGGGGTAAACTCCTTAAGGATGGAGTCTAGGCCTTTTGTTTCTCTGGTATTCCCCAGAGCACCAGCACTGTTCTAGGAACATGGCTTGCTAACTGGGGAGCAGAGTGAGGGTTATGTTCAGGTTGTCTCCCCAAACTTTCCTGGCTTTGCTAGACTTAGAGCTAAAATCTGTGCTAGGAGCAGAAGTGGCCACATCTCCAGCCTAGACCCCATGTCCTGTCCCCTCCTTGTTCCCCAGATCCCAGTTGGCTATCATCCCCCAGGACCCCTTTTTGTTCAGTGGAACCATTCGGGAAAACCTGGACCCCCGGGGCCTGTTTGAGGATAGGGCTCTCTGGCAGGCCCTGGAGCAATGCCACCTGAGCGAGGTGATCATATCCATGGGTGAGTGTACTAGGCTTTACCCTGCAGGGTGGAAGAGGAGGGAGCAGAGAGAGTCCTGGGACCTGGGGGTGAAGATGTGCCTTGCAGGTGGTCTGGATGGTGAGCTAGGCGAGGGCGGCCGGAGCTTATCGCTGGGACAGAGGCAGCTGCTGTGTCTGGCCAGGGCGCTCCTCACAGATGCCAAGGTAAGGTGAGAAGAAGAGACATTAGACAGGGCCAGGAAGAAGGCAGGGGCATGTTAGGGGTGAAGAAGTGGGCTGGGGAGAGGTCTCAGGGGACCTAGTTTTCCTTTTTAGAGCTGGAGATGGGGAGCTGTGGGCTGGACTGGGCCAGGCCAGCCAGGAGGTGGAGGCTAGTGCTTGGCAGGAGCCAAGGCTAACCCTCTTCTCCCTCTTTCTTCCCACCCCCTCCACATGTTCCAGATCCTTTGTATTGACGAGGCCACAGCAAGCGTGGACCAGAAGACAGACCAACTGCTCCAGCAGACCATCTGTAAACGCTTTGCCAACAAGACAGTGCTGATCATTGCCCACAGGTGTGCAAGTATCCAGCATGAGACTCTAATCAGGGCCTTTGGTGTCAGGGCTCCCAGGGGTCAGGGCCCTAACGGTTCCAACCCCCCTCCCCCCCCCCGCCCCCGTGAACCCCCATTCCTCATTCTCATAGCACATTGTCGGCAGCCACAGATCAACTCGCAGAGGCTGCTCCTAACGAACCCGCCTGAAGGCCCCCTGGAATGAGGGCAAGTCTAGTATAACCCCGATGACTGAACGGTTCCAACCCCCCCCCCCCCCCCCCGCCCCCGTGAACCTCAGTTCCTCATTCTCATTGCACATTGTCTTAGAGAACCTGCCGCCCCCAGCCCCAAGCATAGAGCCACGGATAAAGCCTGCAGGCACACCTGTGCAGTCCAGGGCAGGAGAGGAGAGAATGCGGGTCAGCTTTCTGCTTTAAGGCGCTGTCCCTCATTCCCACTGACCACCTGCTCTCACACAGGCTCAACACCATCCTGAACTCGGATCGAGTGCTGGTACTGCAAGCTGGGAGGGTCGTGGAACTGGACTCCCCTGCCGCCTTGCGCAACCAGCCCCACTCGCTATTCCAGCAGCTGCTGCAGAGCAGCCAGCAAGGAGCCCACTCCTCTCCCTGAGGGCCCTCCAGGGTCTGCTGGGTGGCTGCAGAGCTGGCTGCTTGTTTACATTCTTTTCCATGACCCTACCTCAGCCCGTGCTTCCCCAGAGGGGAAAAGGCACCCTGGGTTCCTCTTTGGGAACCACTCTTAAGGCAGAGTTCCAAGGTTTCCCCAGAACATCTGTGACTCCAGGAAAGTTTCTCTGGCAAAGAAGCCCACTTACACTTTCATAATTTTATTGGATAAAATTCCCATCTTACATTCTGTGTATTAAAAAAATAATATTTCTGGTGTGAGGCTGCTTAGGGGTGGTAATAAAAGACTACTCTAGTCTAAGGGGCAAAGGAGGTAAAGGAGGGGGCAGGAAAGCCCCCACTTCCATCACAGTGCTGTGGTCTTTCCAGGCTCAGGGGGCAGGTCAGGTGGTAAGGTGAGCCCTGCAGGCAGCATGCTAACCTGACACTCCTGGTCCTGGCGTGCTGGGACATAGTGTGGTGCAGGGTAGCAACAGGGTCCAGGGGGACAGATACCACGGCGCCAGGCCCGCAGGGTCAACAATACCGTGGACAGGACCAGGGCGGCAGTGATGGCCCCAAAAACCACCATAGCCACCAAGCTAGACTCACCTAGCCCGGCCTCTTGCCTCCGCACCACCTCCTTCACTGAGATGCGCAGCAGACCAGCCCCCGCACTGTGGGGGACAGGCCCTGTGGCTGGTACCACCACAGCTGACGTGAGCCCCAGGGGGATGTCTGCTGTGGTGGTGGGTTCTGGGACAGGTAAGACTAGCTCACAAGTCTTGCCGCCATAGCCACTGGGGCAGAGACAGTCGAAGTCATGGACACGGTCCCGACAGCGGGCCCCTCTCTGGCATGGGCGGCTGGCACAGTCATCCAGGTTGATGGTGCAGAAGCGTCCAGCAAAGCCCTCAGGGCAGAGGCAGGAGAAGCGATTTATGCCGTCCAGGCATGTGGCACCGTTAGCACAAGGCCGCATCAGACAGTCGTCTACATTCACCTCACAGCGGGCTCCCACAAAGCCCGCCAAGCAGCGGCATGTGAAGTTGAGGGCAAAGCCCTGGTCATCCTGGCACAGCCCACCATTCCGGCATGGGGAGCTGGGTTGGAGGTGGGAGAGGGCATTGATACTGAATCATACCTGTAGGGTAGCCCACGTCAGCATCCTGACCACTGCCACCCCATCCCCCTTCCAGCTATCACCTTGAGCTCACTTTCGGAGCCTCAAATGCCTTATTTTAAAACTGGGAACATAAGGAGTACCCAGCATCCTAAATTGTGAGGGTTAAGTGAGATAATCCAATGTCATGCAGTTAGCTTGGGGCCTGGCCCAAAGGGCAGGTAAGTATACTATTACCCTGTCAGGCTCTCAGGCCTGGGGCAGGAATGAGGACAAGTCCAACCCTGCTGCCCATTTCCTCATGCACACCATGAAGCATAAGGCTGCTGTTTGGAACATCCTTAGGGACTGCGTGCAGCTTCAGAGAATGAGGGGAGTCCTAGGTCCTCAACTTCCCCATACCCACCCCTCTCTGCTCCACAGCCAGAGCAGTCACTTGTTGATCTGTAGATTTTTGTTGAAGAAATGGTTCAGGTGGTATAAAAAAGCTGAGAAACCCTGAACTTGAGACACTTTGGCAGGCTGGGGTTTTGTCCTTTGTTGCCCCCATGTGGGTCTTCTGACCCTCAGCCCTAATACTTTACCGCCACCACCCTCAACAGTCCTGCCTCCTCCCTTCACCACATCGTCTAACCTCAAACTCACCCCAAGGGGCCAGCACTCACCCTGCCTGCTCACAGGGTCCCCTCTTGCGCTCGCAGTCCCGCCCATGGAAGCCTGGTAGGCACACACAGTGGTACTTGCCACCCCCGTCATACACGCACTGGCCTCCGTTCTGGCAGGGGGACTGTGTGGTACAGATGTACTCATCTGGAAAGGAGACAGGGAAGGCTCTGAGATAGCCCCTTACATCTGGCATCCAGACCTGCCCAGGCCCCACCCAAGGTTCTGTGGGTGTAGCTCATACTGCAAAGCCAGGCTGGTATTGTGTAGTGGGAGAAAACAACACTGAATTTGGAGTCAGGAGGCTCCTATCACTGGCAATGTCAGTCTGTTTCAGAGTGAATTTGGGCAAGTTATATCTTGTCAATGGGTCTCAGTTTCTTCTTATGTAAAATGAGTACTGTTTTTGGCAGCTGCCTTGGCTACCTCTTGGGGTTATGTTGAGGGCCAATGCAGACAGCAGATAGGTATAACGTCTAAAATGATGAAATACCATGTATTTGAGGGTTTGAGCTGGACACAACAGGTACTCAATAAACATGGATGGATGTTCTCCCAAGACACAGCGGTTCCCCAGACTAACAGCTTCCCTCTTGACTCTCATACCTTTGTCACAGAACTTGCCAGCCCAGCCACTGTGACAGATGCACTGCCAGGGCTGGTGGCAGGAACCGTGCTGGCAGCCGGGCATCCTCACACAGCGCTCACAGTGCAGCCCCTCCCAGCCTGGGTCACACCTGATGGGGAGAAGTACAGGGTCAGGGCTCTGGGTAGGCAATGTGAGGAAATGGAGGCAGCAAAACCAAAGCTTTTAGAAAACAAGAGGACATATGACAGTCCCTAAGGGGAAGCAGGCCTATCCCAGATAGGTGTGGTCCGTGCAAGATCATAGGCCACATATATGGAATCAGACCATCAGACATCAACATTCAAGTCCTCATTCTACACTTTGTCTAATCTTTATGAGCCATAGTTTTATCATCTATTAATTGGAGATACATCTGGCAGGGATGTCTGTAAATGCCCCCGATATCACTCTTGTCTGAGGAGCTCAGAAGCATTTTTTTAAAAAGAGCAACTTCGAAGGGTCATCAGAACTATCTTCCCACCCTGATTCCAGGGCAAAGGCCTAACCTATTTTTTAAAAACCCTCCAAGGATGACGAGTCCGAAACACCCCCAGCCCCTCCAGCAGCTTCCCATCAGCTCCTTTCCTTATGTCCCTCCAGACATATTTTCCTCCTGCTACAGAATTTCCCCAACCCCCACTCCAGTCAATTACTCAGATTCATCAGGAAAGATCCCCTTTCTTAAGTGCTTCTCTCTAGCAACGCTGCAACCTTTCTTTCCAGGCTGAACAATTCTCTTTATATCGTTCCTATATTTTTCCCTTTCATCAAGATTCTCAATTTCCAAATGCTCTCAAGCTTCAAGTCTTTCTCCTGGTATCTTGAGGAGGAATATTTCAGAATTTCTGGATCAGATTTGGGAGAGTAGAGGAAAAAAAGGCAAGGCAAAAGGGTCTGCAGGTTGGGACAGGCTGGCCAATCTGCCCCTATGCTGTGAGGGGATGGGGAATGAACAGTAGGGTCTCAAGCCCCTGGATACCCTGCCCTGGGGCTTGGCCTGGTTGTGGTATGAAGGGCTGAGAAATGGGGAGCAAAGAGTTTAAGAGCACGTGCTAGGAGAGGTACCTGCAGGAGCCATCAGGTGCACAGCAGCCATGGGCCAGGTCACAGTGGGAGCTGCAGTCATCAGCTGCAAGAGATTGATGTGGGAGGGGTGACCCTGGGGTCCGGGTTGGGCTCCCTGAGATGTGGGGCTCTGGAGAGGATACAGGGTCCCAGTAATTGGATGGGCTCAGCTCTGGGCCAGGGAAGGACGTCTAGTTCCAAAGGGAAGACTTGGGTCCCACCAACCCCACGGGTCCGAGTGGGTGCAGTGCCGTCTCTGGCCGGCAGAGGTCAACGTGCAAGCGAGGGACAGCCCTCTCAGGAGAGGGCCGCGCGACTTGAGCCCGGGGTGCGCTCACCTCGGGCAGGCTGAACGGATGCCCCCAGAATGCACAAAAGGCACAAGAGATGTAGGCAGCGGCAGCTGCTGGGCATGGTCAGCGCCGGCCCCAGGAGGAACGGATGGATGGATGGCCGGACGTGCGGACACCTGTGGGATGGCACAGGCTGGGAGGAGGTCGGACGCGAAGATAGCGGCACGGATTCCGGTTCCGAGTGACAGAAGCAGAGAGGGAGAGGAGCGTGCAGACAGGGGGGGTAGGGACAGCGGGAGGGCGGGGGTGTGGAAGGATTGGGCCAGCAAGGGTACTGGGGAATAGGATCCAGGAGCTGGCTCTGTACGAAGAAGGCGAAGGATGGGCAGCGCGGAGCGAGGTCAGGGCGCAGGAAGGGCCGGGGCGGGGAACGCAGCAGAACCGAGTTGTCGCGGGGATGGGGACAGCGCCGAGGGTTGGTCTCGAGCACGGAGGGGTGACAGGGGCTGGTTCCTGGCAGCAAAGTCTCCGATCCCATCCCCGACTCCAACCAGGACTTTCTCCCACGTCCCCTTCCCATTTCGACCGCGTATGGTTCGGCCGCGGCGCCAGGCCTGGGGTCCCCGAGCGCCGCTCGCCCT